TCCAGGTATGTATACGTGGGTGACGTATTTATCGACATGTTGCTACTAGTATGTGTCTGTTGGGGTGGATAAGTCGGGTAGCGCTCTGCGCCACGGCATTGTACCCAGATGTATACATATCATGTTGCTCTTATGCGATGTCCACACTTCGTCTTGGACGGAGTGTGGCAAAGGTTTGAGAGCTACAAAAACTTGATTGCTTCTGCATTCTACATATGTAAACAACTGCACCTGAAGAAGATCGCGAAAAAGAGAAAAAAAGACCCGGGCCGAAACGCAGGAGCAGTCCAGTAGGTTGATCACATCCGAGGACAGAATGTCCATTCGGAAACGTGTCGGTATCGTACGACTAATTACTACTACCCACCTAGCTTAGCATCTCTGGAGGTTCAATCGTGGTAGTCCAGAGCGAACAAGCCAATGATGAGACAGAGGCTGTCATCCAAATATGATAACGGTTTGACATTAAAGCGAGCGTCCCATTGAGGTGAGGCTCGTAGACTTTGTGGTCGAGAAATACGGACCTTGCACAGCCGTAGGTCGTGGACTTTGTGGTCAAGAAACACGGGTCATGCACACTCTTAGGTGGCGGACGTAGTTGGTAGTGGCTATCTTCTAGCACTGGATGTCTCGCAAACAGCAACTCACCTGTCCTAAAGCAGTCACGACACACCAGAAAGCGACGCAACGAGATGCGTGGCATGTCGAGCTTAACTCGCGTGTAGCTTTATGACGCCTCATTACCGTCACAACGTGCCCATCAACCAGATTGTCGTAGAGGCAGATGACGGTCTTGAAGTGGTAAAGAACTGGCGATGGTGATCGTATGCGGTACATTGATGAGATGGTAGTCAAGTGTTATCACTCGCACACGATCTAGCAGCTTTCTGGACGACTCAAGTCGATAGCAAACCATCCGTCCTAGAGCATGTAGACGTCCAAAACGTCATACCACCTCACTCCGTTGAAGGACGACGAAGTTCTCTTTCAATCACTTCCTCGTGACATCAGAGATGGACGGCAGACACAGCAAGCAAGGATACAGCGTCACAACACTTTTTGACTTGTTTGCTCTAGGCACACGACGATACGAAGATGCAGTGGCCTTTTCATTTTTCCTAATCGCACTTGCAGCTGTGGATACCGCTGCCCAAGCAACAGGTCAAGAAGTAGAGATCCTGGTTGGCGCGGGGGTGCGCATTCTCCAATTACTCGACCTTGCCAAATGCGACCAAAAGCGAGCCTTCCTATCGTCTACAGCTTGACCCTGGGCTCGGGGAGGGCATCTACGTGCTGCATTTCACGCACTTCAACCTTCCCGAATCCGATCGTCTGGTACTTTGGCCTTCCGAAGATCCAGAGACGACACCAGCGGTGGCCGTGCTGTCGGGAAAGAATGCAACGGGCAACTTTCACTCGACCGCGATATCGGGGATCGGAGTCGTCCTGGAACTATTCAAGACTCCGGTATCCGATCAATCCAGTTCGACTTCGTGTCGAGGCTTCACCGTGGACCGATTGCTCTTTACCCCGAAAGAGCTCGTGGATGAGGCGCAGCACCTGCAAGTGGCTGTCAAGGTGCCACTAACCAACCTCTCCAATACGACTGACACCAATGACAACGATCACATCAACAACGAAAGTCTATGTGGTGCGGATGAATCCGTCGAGGCTGCTTGTGCGCCGAGTGCTACCAACAGTGCTGAAGGAGCCATCATGCTGGCCAAGTCGCAACCGGTTGCGCGACTGTCGATAATTAAGGATAATGGCATGGTCATCGCTTACTGCACGGGCTGGCTACTTGGTTGCGAAGGTCACTTGATTACGAATCAGCACTGCATCGGCAATAACCAAGACGCGCTCAATACAAAGGTCGAGTTTCTCGCTCAGTCAACGAGCTGCAAAGGCGGTGAGACTTGTGACTCCCAGGGTGGATGTCCAGGACCGATTGGCGTGACGTCGCCAACGCTAGTGGCCGTCTCGGAAGAGTTGGACTACGCGGTGGTCCGACTTGGTATCAACGACAGTATTGCGGATTACTCCGGCCTGTACGAGAAGACGAGTGGCTATCTACAGTTTCGCGCATCGGGAGCGGTACCGAAGGAAAGCATTTACATTCCGCAGCATCCGCTGGGCTATGGCAAACGTATTGCATGGCTGTATAATGGTCAACCAGGACGTGTCGAGTCGCTGACGGTCACCGAATGCCGCGAAGACGATGTGGGCTACTATATCGACACCCAGGAAGGAGCGTCAGGCTCACCGATCCTTGGCACGAGTGACCATAATGTCATCGCGATGCACCACTGCGGTGGGTGCTTGAATGGTGGCATCCCAGCGCAATCGATAATCGAGGATCTCACCACAAAAGGCGTTTTGCCGAAATGCTCCGTCGCAACGTAGAGCAGCCGCCCACTATCGAGTCGTTCATGCGTGTTCCAGAAACGCTGTGGAGGCGAGTGCCAAAAACATTGGTGTTCGTAGCTGGCAGAAAAGCAGGAAGGATTGTTGTGAGATCGGTAAACTATGGGATAAACTATCGTTCATGTCGACACCCTCATTCCATCTCGTTTGACATTCATTCAAGTCGTGCATTCGATTGTTGTTTGCATTTGGCTCTTGTCGCTCGTATAACTCCACTCGAACAACGTCGCCGTATACCTTTCACCGTTTATACGAGTGAAGCGTCGGCCATCCAGCGACTATTTGGTCGAAAAACTCAGCATGGATGGCGTTCTTCCCGACTGTGGTGTTTGTTTTCCTCCGAGGCCGTGTAAAATGAGATGGGATTTATGGTCTCCACGTTTATGCCTAACTATTCCAGCTCGATACGCTGGCATAGGTGTTGACGAAACCTTGTTATAGAACCTTACATGCCGTACCCTCAATGCTAGCTGATCACTTGATATGGTCACGAAAGCCGGCACGGTCACTCGATGCTTTGCATGTGTGTGAGACAGCATAGCCAGTCGGATACGCAACATCACAAGCATATTGGGGATGAGCTACCGGTACGTCTCCTCATCTATGCAATAGTACTGCCGTTGAGCAAGGTAACTCAACTGTTCAAGAGAACGTCGACCACGCTATGGAAGTTCTAGGCTTTCAGAAGATTGGACACTATGCTCATGAGTATTGATCACGTCTTTGATCTCGTCGTGGCTCCTTTCTTTACATCCATTGAGTCCACGGGATATTTACGCTCTCTAATGTCGAGCACCAGTGTGACAAGGTCTGTACATGCGAGTGCCGTCATGTTGTCTTTGCTGCCAAAACAGAAGGAGCATAAGGCCAGGAGCCACACATCGATGAAGCTTTCTTGGATCAGTCATAACAGCGGAATAGAAATCACCACTGAGAAAGAGAGAGAGCTTAACCAATCGAACTACGTGTGTGATATCGTAGCTGAGCAGAACTCTATGCTAGTTCGCATCTCCTGCTAGTATGCGTCTTGTGCGACTTCAATCGTATGTGGTGATACATACACACCAGGCACACCTTACCGATATACGACATCAAAGAACGTCGGTGTTCGCGTCAGTACGCCCGTGTTTGCGCGCATTCCACATCCAGGTATGTGTATACGTGGGTGACGTATTTATCGACATGTGCTGCTACTAGTATGTGTCTGTTGAGGTGGATAAGTCGGGTAGCGCTCAGCGCCACGGCATTGTACCCAGATGTATATACATCATCGTTACTCTTATGCGATGTTCACACTTCGTCTTGGACGGAGTGCTGCAAAGGTTTGAGAGCTACAAAAACTTGATTGCTCCTGCATTCTACATGGTGTAAACAACTGCACCTGAAGAAGATCGCGAAAAAGAGAAAAAAAGACCCGGGCCGAAACGCAGGAGCAGTCCAGCAGGTTGATCACATCCGAGGACAGAATGTCCATTCGGAAAACGTGTCGGTATCGTACGACTATCACTACTACCCACCTAGCTTAGCATCTCTGGAGGTTCAATCGTGGTAGTCAGAGCGAACAAGCTAATGATGAGACAGAGGCTGTCATCCAAATATGATAACGGTTTGACATTAAAGCGAGCGTCCCATTGAGGTGAGGCTCGTGGACATTGTGGTCGAGAAATACGGACTTTGCACAGCCGTAGGTCGTGGACTTTGTGGTCAAGAAACACGGGTCATGCACACTCTTAGGTGGTGTACGTAGTTGGTAGTGGCTATCTTCTAGCACTGGATGTCTCGCAAACAGCAACTCACCTGTCCTGAAGCAGTCACGACGCCCCAGAAAGTGACGCAACAAGATGCGTGGCATGTCGCGCTTAACTCGCGAGTAGCTTTATGACGCCTCATTACCGTCACAACGTGTCCATCAACCAGATTGCCGTAGAGGCAGATGACGGTCTTGAAGTGGTAAAGAACTGGCGATGGTGATCGTATGCGGTACATTGATGAGATGGTAGTCAAGTGTTATCACTCGCACACGATCTAGCAGCTTTCTGGACGACTCAAGTCGATAGCAAACCATCCGTCCTGGAGCGTGTAGACGTCCAAAACGTCATACCACCTCACTCCGTTGAAGGACGACGAAGTTCTCTTTCAATCACTTCCTCGTGACATCAGAGATGGACGGCAGAAATGGCAAGCAAGGATAGAGCGTCACAACACTTTTTGACTTGTTTGCTCCAGACACACGACGATACGAAGATGCAGTGGCCTTTTTCATTTTTCCTAATCGCACTTGCAGCTGTGGATACCGCTGCCCAAGCAACAGGTCAAGAAGTAGAGATCCTGGTTGGCGCGGGGTGCGCATTCTCCAATTACTCGACCTTGCCAAATGCGACCAAAAGCGAGCCTTCCTATCGTCTACAGCTTGACCCTGGGCTCGGGGAGGGCATCTACGTGCTGCATTTCACGCACTTCAACCTTCCCGAATCCGATCGTCTGGTACTTTGGCCTTCCGAAGATCCAGAGACGACACCAGCGGTGGCCGTGCTGTCGGGAAAAGAATGCAACGGGCAACTTCCACTCGACCGCGATATCGGGGAACGGAGTCGTCCTGGAACTATTCAAGACTCCGGTATCCGATCAATCCAGTTCGACTTCGTGTCGAGGCTTCACCGTGGACCGATTGCTCTTTACCCCGAAAGAGCTCGTGGATGAGGCGCAGCACCTGCAAGTGGCTGTCAAGGTGCCACTAACCAACCTCTCCAATACGACTGACACCAATGACAACGATCACATCAACAACGAAAGTCTATGTGGTGCGGATGAATCCGTCGAGGCTGCTTGTGCGCCGAGTGCTACCAACAGTGCTGAAGGAGCCATCATGCTGGCCAAGTCGCAACCGGTTGCGCGACTGTCGATAATTAAGGATAATGGCATGGTCATCGCTTACTGCACGGGCTGGCTACTTGGTTGCGAAGGTCACTTGATTACGAATCAGCACTGCATCGGCAATAACCAAGACGCGCTCAATACAAAGGTCGAGTTTCTCGCTCAGTCAACGAGCTGCAAAGGCGGTGAGACTTGTGACTCCCAGGGTGGATGTCCAGGACCGATTGGCGTGACGTCGCCAACGCTAGTGGCCGTCTCGGAAGAGTTGGACTACGCGGTGGTCCGACTTGGTATCAACGACAGTATTGCGGATTACTCCGGCCTGTACGAGAAGACGAGTGGCTATCTACAGTTTCGCGCATCGGGAGCGGTACCGAAGGAAAGCATTTACATTCCGCAGCATCCGCTGGGCTATGGCAAACGTATTGCATGGCTGTATAATGGTCAACCAGGACGTGTCGAGTCGCTGACGGTCACCGAATGCCGCGAAGACGATGTGGGCTACTATATCGACACCCAGGAAGGAGCGTCAGGCTCACCGATCCTCGGCACGAGTGACCATAATGTCATCGCGATGCACCACTGCGGTGGGTGCTTGAATGGTGGTATCCCAGCGCAATCGATAATCAAGGATCTCACCACAAAAGGCGTTTTGCCGAAATGCTCCGTCGCAACATAGAGCAGCCGCCCACTATCGAGTCGATCATGCGTGTTCCAGAAACGCTGTGGAGGCGAGTGCCAAAAACATTGGTGTTCGTAGCTGACAGAAAAGCAGGAAGGATTGCTGTGAAATCGGTAAACTATGGGATAAACTATCGTTCATGTCGACACCCTCATTCCATCTCGTTTGACACTCATTCAAGTCGTGCATTCGATTGTTGTTTGCATTTGGCTCTTGTCGCTCGTATAACTCCACTCGAACAACGTCGCCGTATACCTTTTACCGTTGATACGAGTGAAGCGTCGGCCATCCAGCGACTATTTGGTCGAAAAACTCAGCATGGATGGAGTTCTTCCCGACTGTGGTGTTTTTTTCCTCCGAGGCCGTGTAAAATGAGATGGGATTTATGGTCTCCACGTTTGTGCCCAACTATTCCAGCTCGATACGCTGGCATAGGTGTTGACAAAACCTTGTTATAGAACCTTACACGCCGTACCCTCAATGCTAGCTGATCACTTGATATGGTCACGAAAGCCGGCACTGTCAATCGATGCTTTGCTTATATGTGAGACAGCACAGCCAGTCGGATACGCAACATCACAAGCATATTGGGGATGAGCTACCGGTACGTCTCCTCATCTATGCAATAGTACTGCCGTTGAGCAAGGTAACTCAACTGTTCAAGAGAACATCGACCACGCTATGGAAGTTCTAGGCTTTCAGAAGATTGGACACTACGCTCATGAGTATTGATCACGTCTTCGAGCTCGTCGTGACTCCTTGCTTCACTTCCATTGACTCCACGGGATATTTACGCTCTCTAATGTCGAGCACCAGTGTGACAAGGTCTGTACATGCGAGTGCCGTCATGTTGTCTTTGCTGCCAAAACAGAAGGAGCATAAGGCCAGGAGCCACACATCGATGGAGCTTTCTTGGATCAGTCGTAACAGCGGAATAGAAAGCACCAAAGAGAAAGAGAGAGAGCTTAACCAATCGAACTACGTGTGTGATATCGTAGCTGAGCAGAACTCTATCCTAGTTCGCTTCTCCTGCTAGTATGCGTCTTGTGCGACTTCAATCGTATGTGGTGATACATACACACCAGGCACACCTTACCGATATACGACATCAAAGAACGTCGGTGTTCGCGTCAGTACGCCCGTGTTTGCGCGCATTCCACATCCAGGTATGTGTATACGTGGGTGACGTATTTATCGACATGTGCTGCTACTAGTACGTGTCTGCTGGGGTGGATAAGTCGGGTAGCGCTCAGCGCCACGGCATTGTACCCAGATGTATATACATCATCGTTACTCTTATGCGATGTTCACACTTCGTCTTGGACGGAGTGCTGCAAAGGTTTGAGAGCTACAAAAACTTGATTGCTCCTGCATTCTACATATGTAAACAACTGCACCTGAAGAAGATCGCGAAAAAGAGAAAAAAAGACCCGGGCCGAAACGCAGGAGCAGTCCAGCAGGTTGATCACATCCGAGGACAGAATGTCCATTCGGAAAACGTGTCGGTATCGTACGACTAATCACTACTACCCACCTAGCTTAGCATCTCTGGAGGTTCAATCGTGGTAGTCAGAGCGAACAAGCCAATGATGAGACAGAGGCTGTCATCCCAATATGATAACGGTTTGACATTAAAGCGAGCGTCCCATTGAGGTGAGGCTCGTGGACTTTGTGGTCGAGAAACACGGACCATGCACAGCCGTAGGTCGTGGACTTTGTGGTCAAGAAACACGGGTCATGCACACTCTTAGGTGGTGTACGTAGTTGGTAGTGGCTATCTTCTAGCACTGGATGTCTCGCAAACAGCAACTCACCTGTCCTGAAGCAGTCACGACACTCCAGAAAGTGACGCAACAAGATGCTTGGCATGTCGAGCTTAACTCACGAGTAGCTTTATGACGCCTCATTACCGTCACAACGTGTCCATCAACCAGATTGCCGTAGAGGCAGATGACGGTCTTGAAGTGGTAAACAACTGGCGATGGTGATCGTATGCGGTACATTGATGAGATGGTAGTCAAGTGTTATCAGTCGCACACGATCTAGCAGCTTTCTGGACGACTCAAGTCGATAGCGAACCATCCGTCCTGGAGCGTGTAGACGTCCAAAACGTCATACCACCTCACTCCGTTGAAGGACGACGAAGTTCTCTTTCAATCACTTCCTCGTGACATCAGAGATGGACGGCAGAAATGGCAAGCAAGGATAGAGCGTCACAACACTTTTTGACTTGTTTGCTCCAGACACACGACGATACGAAGATGCAGTGGCCTTTTTCATTTTTCCTAATCGCACTTGCAGCTGTGGATACCGCTGCCCAAGCAACAGGTCAAGAAGTAGAGATCCTGGTTGGCGCGGGGTGCGCATTCTCCAATTACTCGACCTTGCCAAATGCGACCAAAAGCGAGCCTTCCTATCGTCTACAGCTTGACCCTGGGCTCGGGGAGGGCATCTACGTGCTGCATTTCACGCACTTCAACCTTCCCGAATCCGATCGTCTGGTACTTGGGGCTTCCGGAGATCCAGAGACGACACCAGCGGTGGCCGTGCTGTCGGGAAAGAATGCAACGGGCAACTTTCACTCGACCGCGATATCGGGGAACGGAGTCGTCCTGGAACTATTCAAGACTCCGGTATCCGATCAATCCAGTTCGACTTCGTGTCGAGGCTTCACCGTGGACCGATTGCTCTTTACCCCGAAAGAGCTCGTGGATGAGGCGCAGCACCTACAAGTGGCTGTCAATGTAACGGGGTGAATCGTTACATAACAATTTATAAGAAATTGTTAATAGAATATAACTATCAGAGTTGTATTCTCAGAATATTGTCATAAGGACAAATATTCTGTAGCACTTACGAGTAGTTCCTAATTGGTTGATATAGGCCATTATATCAACCAACGAAGACGCGCCACGACAGACGCACGCAATGAGTGGTGAGCAGATAGTTGATTTACGCATTTGTATTTAGACATAGTTAGATGAAGATAAATAGTGATTTATTGCAGACATTAACTATTATAAATACAGTTCTACTTTTTACTTTAACCAAGTACTCGCTTCTTCTTACCGTCTTCCTCTGCACGTACGAGTGTACGTGAAGTTACGAGGCACCGCCTTATTCTGTCATCAGAATAAGTAGCTTGTACTGTCACCAGTACAAGCTTCAGGGTGCCCCGTTACACCTGGTAGCACTTCGTAGTCCGTCCAAGGACCGCGTTCACATCCAACATGAATATGTTGGATGATGAAGATGACCAAAGCTTTCACGCTACGCGTGACGGCTACTCCCATTTGAGAGATGTCGAATGGGATGCGGTTGAACGAATGGGTTCGCCCATGGGCATCCATGCTGTTAGCGTCATGCTAGAGGCTCTCAATAGAGATGCCCAACATGCTACTATCGCCAAGTTCATTCAAAATGAACTTGACGCAGAACGCGAGAAAGTAGCCTTGCTTCACCAACAAGGTTCTCAACAAGCAGAGTTGTTGAGAGAACAGGGTGCTCAACAGTTTGAACTGTTGAGACAGCAGCAGGCTGCTGCTGGCGGGTCGATGCATTCTCGTCGACCCGAGACTTTGAAGATTGACATCTCCAAGTATAAGGGGGTCGAAGAAGACTCCCTCTTGAGATGGTTCATCGAATTGGATGACGCCATAAGGGCGCGTCGCATCGACGACGGGGATATGCAAGTTGCATGTGCCCAGTCAAATCTGGCAGGACGTGCAAGACTTGGGCACTGGGGCTCAAGTCGCACGACCCATATGCGTTTGGGTCGTTGGAAGTCTTCAAGTCGCGGCTCAGACAAACGTTTGAACCGCCTAGAGCTGAGTTCAGAGCTCGAACCGAACTCTTGAAGCTCAAGCAGGGTAAGCGTGATGTGCACGCTTACGCTCAACATATACGACATCTCACGAGTTGTATAAGTTCCAATCCGGTGGATGAACACACGTTGGTTTCGGTGTTCATGCAGGGTCTTGCGGATTGTCCCGTCAAGACTCACCTGTTCCGGCTTGAACTAGATTCACTAGAACAAGCCATTTCCATTGCGGAGCAGGAAGACTTCAGGCTGAGACAGGCTCGCGCCAGCTCGACATCATTTCGTCAACCGAGACGATATGACAACGGAGGTCCAGAGCCGATGGAACTCTGTTATGTAGAGAGCGAGAAAGCTCGCTCTACAGGCTACAAGAAGTTGCAGAGATGCAACAGATGTCAAAAGACAGGACACTACGCTTACGAGTGTAGTGCCCCTCGTCCAGTGTCTCGCGACACTGGGCGTAGTGACCGTCCACCCATGAGAAAGGGGCAGGGACGAAGATCCGCAGTTGGTGCAAAGACGCAACAACGGGATGGACCGTCAAAAAACGGACAGGATCAGTAGGTGCGGAGCACCCTTCTGATCCAGCAACGTCAAGAGAATTTGTAGGCCTCTTGATGAAGGTTGCTCCCAACACACAAACGTTGTGCGCTGCTGCTCTAGGTAATGAGGTCTCACTCATTACCTTGAAACTCGAAGTGACAAATAAGTTGTCCCTTCGAGCTCTAGTCAATTGTGGGGCGTCCAACAATTTTGTGCGACGCCAATCGCTAGAAGATGGTCACTTTAAATTCGGTGAATGTGACACACCTCCTACGAGGATGACGGTACGTCTTGCGACAGGCGCATCCGTAACCGTCATGAAGCGTATAGTGAAGATCCACTATACGCTAGAAGATACCCAATATGACGATGACTTTATCGTATTGGATTTGGATGACAAATTTGATGTCATCCTTGGAATACCGTGGCTCAGAAGGTACGAACAACGGGTAAACTGGCAACATCGGACAGTAACGATGCCTGCCGCTTGTTCATCAGATGGCCATCTGATGAACGTTTTGGAGCGTCCACAAGCGTGTGGATGTACTACGAGTGAGTGCGATGGCCTCACTTGTGGTACGGTCGTTAGTACGACTGCACAAAACCTTAGTGTACCAAACGGCTACACTTCGGAGCAAAGTTCCGGCGGCTGTGAGGAAACACAGGCTGCGCCGAAGGTCCACCACTCGAATAAGTCGGGTGGACTGGGACAAAGATGTATCCCTAGCGGGGAACATCTAGAAGAGAAACAATCGATCGCTCAGGTTAAGCGAAACGATAATCCTAGATCGACTGGAGAGTCTTTCGTAGAGGATCTCGCTGTGGTTGCGCAACCCCAGCTAGAGGAAATAAAGGGAATAAGTCCCTATAATACAAATACGGCGGAAATAAGTTCCCCGAAACCCGCGGGAATAAGTCCCCGGGAAGACGAAGGAATAAGTCCTTCGAAGCCTGAGGGAATAAGTCCCCAGGAAATGACAGAGACATTGAATGTCATAGTCAATAACGGATCAAGTGTAGGCGCTTATACACTTGATCTGATTGCGCCTCCGAAGTTAACTCAGTTGCCAACGCTCGAACATAAAAGGTTCTTGCGTGATCTGCGTAGTGGCAAAGTCAAGCAGATCTGCATACTCGTCGCTGACGACGAGTGTGTAACCGACATAAGGTCAGCAACAGTGTTCACTGAGAACGAGAGAGTTCTCAGTAGTTCATCTATGGACGAGAGTGTCCTAGACGAAAAGACACGAATTGAGCGATATGACTCCCAATCGTGGGAATCGCTCGAGACAAATCCTCTCTATGAAGATTTGGTTGGATTCAAGGATGTATTCCCTGAAACTGTTCCGTGCGTATTACCGAAGGATAAAGGTATTCGACACGAGGTCGAGCTTAAACCAGGCTCGAAGTACTGTGTCATGAAGCAGTGGCCACTGCCTCGTGAACAAGTACTTGCGATCGACAAGTTCTTTGCCGATCGTTTAGCTGCGGGCCATGTGAGGGAATCAACTTCCCCACATAGCTCTCCGACCTTCTGTGTGCGAAAAGCAACAGGAGGGTGGCGGATAGTGCATGCATTTAACAAGTTGAATGCTGCAACGGTATCGGCTCAGACGCCGATACCGAGGAAGGACGTAATCATTGATGGTATGTCAAAGAGTACCATCTTTTCGTCCATGGATTTGATGGATGGCTTCTATCAAATCCTTATGCGGGAACGGGATATACCCTATACTGCAGTTAGCACGCCTAGCGGCATGCTCTGGGAATGGCTAGTAATGCCACAAGGGCTCAGTAATTCCCCTGCCACGTTCAACAGATATGTATCACATCTGTTGAGACCAGTACGAGAATTTATGCCGAGTTATTTCGATGACGTATTCATCCATAGTCGGGCTATGGATGGAAAGTCGGACGTTGAGGTTCACAGGTACCACGTCCGACAGGTTCTTACAATCATGCGAAAGCATCAATTGTATGCAAACCTCAAGAAGTGTATATTTGCAGCAAGCGAAATACCACTTCTTGGGTGCATCGTTGGTAAGAACGGTGTACGTCCTGATCCCGAAAAGATCAAGGCGATCACCGACTGGCCCGTGCCGGTCGATGTCAAAGGTCTTCGAAAATTCCTTGGGCTAGCGGCGTATTTGTATAAGTATTCACGCAATTACGCCGAGATGACTGTACACCTCTCTCGTTTGTTGAAAAAGAACGAGAGGTGGTTATGGAACGCTGAATGTCAACGCTCCTTTGAGGGTATCAAGCAGAGCTTGATACAATCCCCAGTCCTAGCAATAGCCGATCAGGACAGGCCATTTCATGTGGTCTGTGATGCCAGCGATTTCGCAATCGGCTGTGCATTAATGCAGTACGATCTTGAAGGCGTTGAACGCGTCGTCTGCTATCAGTCGCGTCAGCTGCAACCAGCTGAGCGGAACTATCCAGTGCATGACAAGGAACTTCTTGCCATGAAGTATGCACTCGCGAAGTTCAGAGTCTATCTATTAGGAGATAGACCCTTCGTTGTTTACACTGACCATGCGTCATTACGCACGGCAGTGAACAGCCCGCACCTTTCACAACGAATGGCGCGGTGGTTGTCATTCTTTGCAGAATACAACTTTACGGTCGAGTACAAACCAGGACGACTTAATGTCGTCGCTGATGCAA